CTGCAGCCGCCTCGACAACCATCTCATGGTTGTCTTCCTGCAGTTCATGCTCTCCCAACTGGTGCGTACTCATTGTCAGCAGCCCAGAATCATTCCTTCAGCACCCCTGCTACTATCCCAGGCCCCTGCAACCTTCCCTCCACCATCTCCTAGCCTTCGCTGCTACAGCCCTATAAGCCCCTTGCCTTGCTGTCCACTGTTGTCTTAACCACTTGCAACCTTCCCTCCACCTTCTTCTAGCCTTCTATCTCGTTGTTGTAGCCCCGTACACCCCTCGCCTTTCTTTACATTGTTGTTTCAGCCACCTGAACCGCATCATGCAGCCTCGTTGTTGTTGCAGCATTTCCCTGTTACTGCCATTTCCTTTCCATCCACCCGACCATTCCCCATGCCGCCTCACTGCTATCCTAGCCACCAAAAACACCTCCCCGCATCCTAACCGTTGTTCCCGCCACCCAAAACCGCCCCTAGCTGTTGTTTTTTCACTGCCCAATCCACCCACCGCCCTTGCTACCGTTTTTCCAAGTTCTTATCAGCCACCACCACCACATGAGATCAACCTTAGTTAGGTGTTTGTGTCGTGTCTGTTGCTATTTCAGATTCTGGGTATCGTATTGTATTTTCTCTTTCAAATGTGTTGGTTGTAATCACATATTTGCTTTCAATAATAATATTTTCTTTTACTATGGTGATTTGGGTTAACTTTCGGTATCATTTGGTATCAAATTTAGCATAACTCTACTCCTATTCTAGGGTTTCTTGCATCCACACATACCCAACCCCACCACACAAAAAACTCTCCCCGTTGCAGATTTTTTAATCCGACAGCCCAAATTTTTTTTCTCCACCCTACATCACCTCTATACATCTCCTTTCACCTACCTACTCTTGAACCCTTATCATGCCACCGATGACACAATAGTTGAACGTTGATGAGGATTTTACCATTGAAGAGAAACGACAACTCCACCGAGTGCTACTGTGGCTTGATGAAATTGAGGAAGGAGACCATTTAGAGGGGTCATCCAAACCCCATTTGATTCCAGAAATGTCAGAGAAACCTAAATTTGGAGTAAAGATGGATTTGCTATATTTTGATGGCTACTCGGATTTGGACGAGTTCATTGAGTGGTTCCACACTGTGGAACTTTTCTGTTAGTACCAAGACCTCTAAGCCAACATAAGTATATTTGTGCAAAAAGATAGCAGCACCTCATGTAACCCTTACTAATTCTTGTGATGATGATGATTTTGCCAATTTTTAAATTTGTTGGAAATTCTAATGAGAAAGATAAACTACTTGATTTTTGAAATCATGTTGGTTTGCTGAGAAATGAATGTACTGTAAAAGAAATACAATGCCAAAGACATGTATTGTATTTGGAATTCTTTGAAGTTTCTTGGTCCAGTGAAAAATAAATGCAGGATTTCACATTATTTGATTTGAAAAAAAATGAATTCAATGTAAAACATGTGTTCGATGGTGGCGGTGGGTAGCAAGTGGCGCTGGCAAGCGATGATGGAAGTGGTGGCCTCTTACTCGTAATTGGGTACATAGAGGGGCCCAAGTACATAATGCTAAAACAGTCTGTCATCATCACATAATTGTAGGTTAGTTCATGTTCTAGTTTGCAAACAAATTGTGGATATGGATTTGGGCAAGAAATCAGAGTATATGATTTTGGTTACTTTGATATTGATATTGGAAACCGTATAGTTATTAAGAGTCTGCTTGTGTGTGCTGGCATTGCATTAAGAAAAAAAAAACTTCCCCCCGAAATTTTACTTTGGTTCTTTTGTTAGTCTGATAATGGCATACATGTAAATTGTTTGCCCTTTTTTGTGTTTGATCAATTTAATCAGATATATTGTCTAAATAACATCTAAACTAGCAGTCTTTCATTTTATTTCCTTCTTGATATTAATATGAGTATAGATTGCGTCCTTAGCTATTCGAAGTGGGAATGGTCTTCTCCTGAAAGGTGGGAAAGAAGCCATGAGATCTAACGTTGTCTTGCATAAGGTACCCTTTTTCCTAACCATCTGTGTACATTAAGATGATTTTCATTGTCGATGGTACTCATGATATGGTTTTATAAATATATCCTATGTTGTTGTAGATTATCACTGAAGCTATCCCAGAAAATGTGGGGCAAAAACTCATTGGTCACGTTACGTCAAGAGATGAAATTCCTGACCTACTAAAGGTTTGATATCTAAAAATGTGAAATGTCTTCCTTTGGAGTTAATACCTCAGAAGTAATATTTTGAAAGTTTTCCAGCTTGATGATGTGATAGACCTTGTAATACCAAGAGGCAGTAGCAAGCTTGTTTCTCAGATAAAAGCTTCCACCAAGATTCCTGTTCTAGGTCATTCTGGTGAGTTGTATTTCAGATTCTCTTTACTTTCCATAACTAAGATGCTGCTTTAACCTGAAGATATGTGTAAGTTGCTGTCAACTACTTGTTCTTTCTTTCTAGATGGGATCTGTCATATTTATGTTGACAAATCAGCTAACATGGAAATGGCTAAACAAATTGTTCTGGATGCAAAGACAGATTATCCTGCAGCTTGCAATGCTATGGTGAATATTCACTTTCTTTGGAGATTTTTTTTTGTATAATTGTTTAGCTTTTACTATCAAATGCTTATTATTTATCTTTTTAAACATTTGCGAGCTCCAACTTTTAGTTCCGCTTTATTTATTTATTTCAGGAAACACTTCTTTTACATGAGGATCTTTTGAATACTGATGGGCTTAATAATATATTAACAGAACTTAGAAGTGAAGGTATTGCGTACACCTCTAATTCACGTTTTTGTTTAAGCAATTCATTTCGCATATATTCTATTCAGTTTTGCTCAGATTGTAGATTAATATTTTCCTTAACAAATATTTTTCATTGAAATGGCTGCCATGGCATTACATAATTTCTCATATAAGATTTATATTACTATGATAAGAAGAAAATAAGAAATACAAAAAATAGAGAAATTTAATGATATATGTGATAACTAAGCAAATTCAAGGTTGACTAGAACTCTAGAAATTGCTGAGGGAGAGACGTTCAATTAGGAGATGCTCACGACTTCTGGTATTGGGGGAGAGGGAGCAACCCAAGTTTGGTTCTTTCATTGCATAATCCTATTTTCCCTGATGAGTATTTATAGCATTATAAGATCCATAAGAACCTATTAAACACCTTTTAACTATTTAATGCCTATATTATCTTAAAACCCACTCATTGAATTTATGACCTAATGTTGGATCCCCCTTCTCATAGTCCTTGCACTCCAGGTCATGCAGATAGAAAAAAATAGCGAACTTCGATAAGATTTGAGCTGAAAGAAGGTAGGACAGCTGTGAAAGTGAGCTTAGTTGGGTATTGGAAAGCAGATTTGGCGTGATTTGGGAGTCAAAGGCCGACTTTGGCGGATTTGGGAGGCGTAGGCCCAAAAATAGGAATTATGGGCTCAATATTGACGTGATTTGGGATGGAGGTTGAATTGCAGAGGGTAAAGCTGAGGCAGATATGGCAATACTAGGGTAGGAAGAAGCGAGATTCACAATTGGTAGTTGGTCTTGGCTTGGGATTGAGTGATCTGGTGAAGATGATATCACGAGGTTTGTGTTTGCGAGATTTGACAATTATGATTGTGTACGACATAAGATGGTGAATGATGACCGAGATGAGTAGCGAGATCTATAACTACAGTTTGTGGCAGGGCATCAATTCGAATGGACATCAAGAGCATATCACCTATATTGCGGCAAGGCAATAAGAAAATCATTTGATATAAATAAAATAATAAAACTATAAAAAAATAGAAAAAAATTAACAAAAAAATGAGAGCTAAGCAAATTTCAACCTGTTTAAAACTCTAAAATTATTGAGGGAGAAGAGATGGATGATTATAGGATACACACCTCTCTAAGTATGCGGGAGAGGAGTAGCCAATGCTTAGTTCATTCATTCATGACTCTAATTCTCGCCAAGAGGGGAATTTGCATTACAAAGTCTAGAAGAACCTTTCAAACACTTATTAATCGTCTAATACCTAATATGAACCTATAATCTTACATGAAACTTTATTCTCTTATGAAATGAGTTTCTTCTACTTAGTATTTGGGATTAATATAGTTGATATTTCATTTTTTCTATTAGTTCCACCACTTCTTTGCTGTTGTTTTATTTTCATTTTTTTTGTTTTGCTTCAATTTTTTGTGTTACTGCATGCTAAAGAATTTGCATTGGTAGAGTAATAATTTAACATTATAGCATGTACAAAAATTCAACACTCACGCAGATACAATTAGTAATGTGAGGAGACATCAAGTTAATTTACACAAATAAAAAAAACCTTAGAAAGGGAAAAATTCACAGGGCCTCAATCAGATTAAATAATCTACTCTTCGCCTAGATTAGGGCATATGAGATTACAAGATGAAATTTAAATCATAACCATTTTGAATTAACCCAATAGATATAACTGTTAAGGGTAATTGAGACTATAATTGTTGTAGTATAATTATTGTGGTGGGGCTATGACAACCGTTGTTGATTATAAAAGTCATACCTAATAGTTATGACGATCGTAGTGGAGCTACCAAAATCATAATTGGAGGCTATAACAACTGTAGTTGGCTATATAAGTTGTAGTTGCAGAAGACTATAACAGGCGTAGCAGGGACGATCAAAGTCATAATTGGTGGTGGTCGACAATGACCTATACTGGTCGATGACGATCTTTAGTGATTGGCGATGAACTCTAGTGGTAGGTCGCAATCTCGAGCGATTAGCTACAACTATCAAAATTTTAAGAGTTAAGTTTTAGTAGCCAGCTCACTGTTCTCTTCTTCTCCCCCTTCAATTGAAGAATGCCTTATTTATAATTTTGGAGAGGTACATATTCATAAATTTGACCAATCTCCCAAAACACTCCATCGTGTTGTTCATATTGATAACATGTTTTTTTTTAATATGTAAGTGTCATAATAATGTTGGAATTGACTGATCTTGGGCTCTTTGGATTCCTCTAGTATAGACGACCAATTTGACTATAAACATGCTAAATCCTGAGATCATTTGGTTGTCCAACTGATGCACCAAAGGTTTTGACAATGTTTTAAGTGTTTGATTTTGGCTGATTTGAACTTAGATTGGATCATTTATAGTGTCATTGACTTTGTCTTATTGAGACTCTCAATTTGACTATAAACCTATTGAAATTAGAATTTGGATGATCTTGAATTTGAATTTGAATTTTATTGCTCAATATACTTCACGATCCATTTTTGATGATAACACATCGTTAACGACACATCAGTTGCCTCTTTATTTTCTAATGTTGATGCTTGTCATGTAATATAAGTTTTGGAAAAGTCTATCATAAATTTGTACGTTAAATGGAACGAAAATCTCTGACATTTCAAATTATTAAAATTTACCCATAGATGTTTCATGGAGTTTTGAAGACGCAAATATTGAATTCGGAAAATTTGAAAAATGATGAAATGAATACTTTTAAAAAATAGCCGATCATGTTGTCATTGCACTGTTGGCTGCAGTTTTATGTTTAGGCATGTGTGTCAGGGTGCATGTGTGAAAGCTAATGAGCACAATGATGTGTCTGAGGATGTAGCGAGGTGCGTAGATGAGAACGAGACTGTGCGAGGGCACACGGGTGCGATGATGCACATGTTGGCAAGTATGTATGCTTGTACCTGCATTGGCGTGCACGTTGGCATTGGCGCTAGCTTGTACTGGAGGGGTTGCAATGGCGTGTGCACGAGTGGTTACCCTGGGGCTTGATGACAAAGGTCTGTACAAATGCAAGCGTGCATGCGCCAGGCATGCGGGGGTGTGCGTGTGGGAACATTTGTGAAACTATTCCCACATTGGCGTGCACGCGCTTGCGAGCCCACGGGTTCGCAAACAGACTGAACTGTCAAATTTTGAATTTTCTCTCCTTTTGAAATTTCAATTATAAACACCCCTCTTTAGTGGTTTCAATTTGGATCAGTGGTACCCGATACGATTATTATTTGAGTTGAAGTTCCCCGAACCCTACTCGACCCAGACATGGCTAACTCGAACCGACGTATTTAACCCATTTAATATAAATGTAACAACTATTTGGGTCAAAATTTAGTCAAAATTGGGTCAATTTCTAATAAACAGGTCGAATTCGTGTAAATTTCAGGTTGTCTGGTCAGCTTTGGGTCATCTTTTAGGTTGGCGAGTTAACTTGAACCCGACCCAAAAATTAAATGGGTTAACACTTTTAACATGAACCCGACTCAAAAGCTGAACCCATATTTTTTAAGTCGTGTTCAAAATTTAGTTGGCCTGTCCGGCCAATTTTTGACATTCGTTCTCCTCTTGAGAGGGATAGAAAACACCTCTAAAGGTTGTAGTTGTTTTGTTCATAAGCAAGCTTTTGTTACTTACCTATATTATCGGTTGTTGATTGTGTTGGTTACCCATATTCATTTTCAGGCAGTTGTTGTTCAATCACAATTATAAGATTTTGATCTTCCCTTAGAAGAAATATTGGATTGCGTTGTTTTTTTTTTTACGGATATGATTTTTCAGTTTGATATTATTAATCTCAGTGATGTCAATAGTTTTGAAAGTAGAACCTTCTTGTTGGAACATACATATGTTGGCTTTGGTTATATCAAAATGTCTTGTAGTCAAGATACATTATTTATTTTTTTTATAAACTTCTTAGAGAAAGATGATCCGATGAAAATCGAGAACAATGAAGGCCACAAAAGATCCCAAAATTTTTTTGGTGATGCGATTGATAGCATGGTGATCTCATGTTGATCAAATAATTTTGTAAATTACTTTAAGATTAGACTTCTTTTGAATGTATGAGCTGCATTGGAGTTCATGATATTGATGCTTGACACTCTTGATCTTCATGTAAGAGTGTTGATTATTACTTACCCCAAAAAAAGACAAATATATTACAAGTCTCGTTAGAGATTCAATATATAGTGGAAGTATAGTGATATTGAACTCTTTTTTTTCTTAGATGAATATTTAGCTTCTTAAATAAGTAAACATATTTCTAGACTTTAATTCTTCTAAGTTTTTTTTAGTGCATTTTTATCTTTTGAATGAAGTTACATGTTTCTTTTGA